GCCTAGAGTGAGCAGAGGCCGGGGGCTAGAGTGAGGAATGGCCAGAGGGCTACAGTGAGCAGAGGTGGCGGGCTTGAGAACGGCGTGGCCAGCGGAGCATCCGGAGGGCTTGCGGCAACCACATGTGACGACACCCGGCCTGGACTCCGCTTCGTCCATGGTGAAAGCTGATCCATAGTATGCACTGGCCTGTCTAGACAGATATTGTCTTGACAAGAAGTTAAAGGGATCTTATGATGTTACTAAAAAGAATAATTTGGGCGGCGTTATGCAAATCTTCCCACATTGTGACGTAGATATTTGGGGGGGGGGGCGTGTTAGAATGAGCCGTTTTAGGTAGGCGTGGCTGACTCTTAACTTTTATAAAGAATATCTCTTTGGATTTGAGACTTTAGTCTTTGCAACGTTACAGATCTTCTTTATGCACCAAGAGCTTGTAACACTCCAAAGAGAAAGGAAAAATTGAAATCGCATCATATGACCCCTTTAAAGTAGATCATTAAGTGTCAGTTGCTGTATTTACATCCAGAGATGAGAAATTGGTGGGTGAGGGAAGAGAGGATGACACTACAGAGGAAAGATGGAAGGGTGAAAGGGAGCGTAGGTTTTGCCTAAAAGTAACTGGTAGAGGAATTGGTGGCACATAGGTAGTAATATGTAGGTTAAATGTAATAAAGAAATGATCAGAGATGTCTAGAGGTTTTACCAAATGTTGTCTGTGATACAACTGCATGTGTAAATTAAGTCAAGCTGGTTGCCTGATTTGCTAGTGCTTGTGGTGGTAAGCCATTTGAGATCGAATGAAGCTAGGAGTGGAAGTGGAAGTCTGCAGTGTAAGGCTTCTCCAGATGGATTTCGAAGTCACCAAAGACTACAAGTGGACTGCCATCCACAGACAATGAAGACAGCAGCCCATACAGCTCCTCTAAAGGTGGCCAGTTGACCAGGAAGGCGGTAAATCATTACAATATGGAGTTTAACAGGAGCTGTTACCATAATAGCATGAAACTCAAAATAATTTTTATTGCATAGGGAAGGGTGGGTTGAGTATTTCCAATTATTAGAAATGAGAAGACCAGTACCCTTCCAACCTGACGGGGGGTGTGAGAGAAAGGGAAGTTGTTAGCGAGAACAGCAGAGGTTGCGGTGTCTTCTGGACGAATCCAGGTCTCAGTCAAGCCCAAGATACTAAGAGTAGACTGAGAAGCAATGGCCAGAATGAAGTTTGTTGACAGCTGACTGAGACCGAGACCCACAGAAAATGACAGAGGTGCAGATAGGACGCAGCTTAGCAAGATTGCATTGCCGTCTGAGTGTGATGTTAGAGCATTGTTGAGAGAGAACAAGAATGTATTATAAACATACTACCGCCTACTCGACTCTGCCTGAGAGGTAAGGAAATATACACTTACTTGAGATGATATTTTTTTATATCTCTGATTGTATTCTTGAAAACAATCTTTTATTGTACTATTGAATAAAATATTAGTTAGCTGGTGTGTGGTGGGCATTCTGGCGCAATATGGCTGCTGTCACATCATCCAGGTGGATGCTGCACATTGGTGGTGGTTGCGGAAATTCCCCCTTCCATGTAAAGTGCTTTGAGTACCCAGAAAAGCGCTTTATAAATGTAACAAATTCATAAATAATTAAAACAAAAATAAAACAATCTTTTATTGCACGATTGAATAAAATATTAGTTAATTATCAAAGAAAGAAAAAATGTATAGCCATAATATGGAAGTAGAATTTTGCCTCCGATGTCCCCTTTAAGAATGACAGAAAAGGGCAATGAACAATGTTGCTGTCATAGAATCTCACCTTGTATTTTTGACGCTGTTCCTCTGTGTCTTCTTTTTCCACTTCCAGCACCCGACGCTTCTCTGTGGCATCTTCAGCATAGTCCAGCTGTGGGCACCCACATACACACAAAGGTTAGAGGGGCATACATTAATATTAACATTCAGTAAAAAAAGAAAGCACAAACAACAATCTTTTCACCTCCATTTCCATGCGCCCCATTCCCATGACGTCATATTTGAGGATGATGGGCACAGGGTCAGTTCGTCCTATGATGTTGGGGGGAGAGGCAGAGAGAGAGAGAGAGAGAGAGAGAGAGATGGGACAGAGGTTAGATTTTTGCTCAGATGCAAGAGAAAACTCGGGGCGGGACAGCCTGCTTAGAGCACAAGGTGCTGGGTTAGAGAGCCTTCAAGTGCAAGAGACCAGAAAGCTACAGTGAACCAAACTCTAGCCATTCTCACAGCTTCATGTGCAGCTCTCCTCTAAAAGGCCATTCCAGGTGCTGCGATGTGATTGTAACTAAGCCTAGTTTTAATCGTTTACCATTCGAGTTTACTGCCAATTTATTTTGTAATGAACTGCATACCCTGAAAGAAACTTCTGTTGAAAGAAGCGCGGGACAGAAAACAAGCAGGGGAAGGTTGGGCCAAAGTTTTCACTGAATTTGCCGCAGCGTCCCTACAGTGGCCTGCTTATGTCCTTTCTTACGTCCTCACTTTTTTCTGTTATCTTGCTCCCTCTCTTTTGAGCCATGTCTCGCATTGTGTTCTGTCCAACTCATGTTCTTAACTCAGATGACAGGGAGGCATTTGGGTTGCTGGAGGAGTACTTAAGAGAGGGGGAAGATATCAGCATTCACTGCATCTCTTCACAGCACTGCGATGACACTGACTGCCTGATACACAGTGTGCCTTCCATATTACTCTTCTCTTTACACCCATTTAGGTTTTTTAGGTTTGAACCTTCTCTGAGCTGCTCATCATCTGATTTTCCTACCTGACTACAGGCCACACACTGGATGCAAATGAAGGTTTGTGACCCATATGATATCTTGAAATAGTACTTTGTTTTACTGATAGTCATAGCCCGTCATTTTTTATATACACAAGCTGTGAAAAGACCTAGATCAGAGGAAAAGTAACATCAGAAAAATGAACACAAATCAGAATGAAACAAAAGGAAAAAAAGGACAATTAAAACTACATTGAAGATTGACACATAATTGCTTAATCCACTCATAACCAGCCAAACGAAGCAGAGAGAGAGAAAAAGAAAGAGAGACACAGGGAGTGAGAGAAAGACAGAGAACAGAGAAAATAAGGACACAAGCACTGAGCTACAGCAGCAGAGTGACGTCAAAGGCCAGAGGTTGCCATGGTGACAGTGCAGGGTTGGGGAAAGGATGTACTTACCTGGGAGACTGTGGGGATGGGGTGGGGGTGGCAAACATACAGACACAGAGACAGGAAAGGCAGGGGGTCTCAAATAAAGGAGAAAAGGCACAAGAACAGAAGTCATACTAATTTGCGGCTACACAGGCTAGCACCATGGTCACAGTCAATCAGACTCCAATCAATCGTTTGGATTTCAGTTTTTTTTTTCTGTCAGTCTTCCTCTTTTTTTTGTTGTAAATTTTTAATTTGGGGGGGGGGGTCGTTTAAGTTAAAAGCAGGATCAGTTCATACCCTTGGGCTGATCTACTGGCAAAAGACAAGAAAAATGTCTGAATAATATTAGGAGTAACTTATCGCAATAAAGGGCTAGGAACTTTACATAAACAAACAAAAAAAGTTGATATTAGTTATTTCTTTTTCAGATCAGATAGATATTTAAGGATGTTAGTTTTTAATAATATTGTAAAATTTAATTATAGATAATACATGCATTACCCATGTACATTATACTTGTTTTTTTTTTAGATTTATTTTTGGCATTTTTATTTTATTTTATTATGATAGGACAGTGTAGAGGAGATGGGAAGTGAAGTGAGGGAGAGAGAAGGGGCACGTTATGTCAGTGCGCTGCCCACAAAGCTATTGGCGCCGACTGTACATCATAGTTGTGTGATTCCTAAATACACTGATTTGACACTGACAAAACTATTTTAGAATAAAAAAAAATTCAATTTGCAATATGAAAATAATTATTGGTCTATCGGTATTGGCCATCATTTTTCTATCAGTTAATTCCTATGGCATTTAATCATATTGCTTTCTCAATATAATGCTAAAAAACATTTAACTCAACAAAACAGAAATTCTGAGACACTTCAAAAACCGAGTGAAACATGAGTAAGTAACACCGTCTTTACACTCACCCTGCTGAACTACCGAAAGAAGAACTGTACGACTTTCACATTTCTCTAAATTAAAAGGAATTTAATAATCAGTAATGCATTTTGAAAAAGCAGTGTTTAGAGTCATGATAGATAAAGCATTAATTCCTAGCCCTTGAGCAGAAAAAGACGCATTACAATTTTGAAGCTTAAGACTGTCTAATTTGTGGAAGAGAGAGACTTGAGTTTCAGCCCAGTGGTATAATTGTTCCTGTAATGAAGTGATAAAGGAGCGTGTGTGGAAACGATAAGGGCCTGATGGGATTCCAGCCCCCACCAGAGCTTGCAGGAAAGTGCGCTGAGGGATTCATCCTACCACCAGGGTGCACAAGAGAGTTTCATAACGAAACAGAGAAACTGTATATCACAAATATGCCTTGTATGAATTAGATAATAACTAAACAATATTGAGGCATCTGGTTAGTGTCTTGTAACATTCTACCATATCTAATTGGAAACATGGAATGTCTTGCATCATATTGATCATCTGAGAGGGTTGTTTAAGAATGTTCCCTAAAAATGTAGGTGGGAATCCCAAAATCAGGCCCCCAAGTCAACGATCTCAATCCTTTCCCTTCCCAACAATCTTTGGGAACAATGTGAGGTCAAGACTAGCATTATGCATTCCAGTGAAAAAACATAACGACACTGGACGAAAAGGGTGCAATGCAACAAAAAAGGGGAAGTGGATCTAAATATCCCCCAAAAAACTGAAAACAAACAGAATGAGAGTGTTCTAGAAGAGTGCATATTGAACACTAAGAGACGGGCAGCAGGATGAAGACTAATACAAAGAGAGGTAGAGACAGTTTAAGCCTATTAAGCACTGGTGCTCTGATGATGAGAGTCATATCAAAACAAGAAATGGGGGAAGTAAAATCAAACAAAACAAAAACAAAAAAATGAAAGCATAAATCAAATCAAAATAAAATAACTAATTCAATCGGGGTAAAAATAACATTTACCACTAAGTTTACCATCAGCACAACATGGCCAGGATCATAATGCTGCAAAAAAGAAACACCAATTGGTTAAGCAGGAAGATTGAGGCACAAAGTGAGCGTTCAGGTGTAAGGGGTAAAGGGTTAGGGGTCGGGTTTGGGGGCAGGGGCTTTGGTGTACCCCTTACCAATGGGCCTGGGTGATTACAGGGATACCCTCTCACCATCCCTGACACTCCTTCTCTCCTCCTCTTGACTGTCCTCCTGACTGCTCATTTTTGGTACTATAATTTCAGGCTTTCGGGTTCCTCCACAAGGAGGACACAGTTACTAATTTCAGACTTCCCTCTAAAACACAGGTTTTCAGAGGAGAACCTGAAAACCAGTCCTAAAGCTTTGTTGATTGTCCTTCAACAGAAATGTATCAACCATCACTCAGTCCAAAAGAGCACCACCCTCCTCCCCACTCCCCCCTTTCTCCAATCCCCCATGCGGGTCCAAGTCTCCGCGTGAATGCGTTTGAGACGGAGGCCGTCGTATGCATACTTCATCACGCAGCTGTATGAGCTATGAGAAGCATACGCTGTGAGCGAGCTTTTAGCAGCACATCGTTCTTATCGGCCAGAAGGCTCCTTTAGAGGACTAGATCGCTTTCACAGCCGTTTTCATCGCGCCATTTATTGAGAATCAATTGCAATCTGTTTTGTAGTATCCTGCGTTGCTTAAAACTCAGCTTCACAAGACTGGGTCTCTACAGCCAGCATGCTCTGCAGGAGAGGGGGAAGGAGATGGGTCAGGTCAGGTGAGGCTTTCACAAGTAAGTACATTTATAAGAGCAGAAGTGGGATGCAGGTGGGATGGTGTGAAGACTTTTCCCTGCAAGCTAAAACACCTGAGCCCCCACCCCTCATTTTGGTGACACACATACACACTCTGCACATACAATTTCCACTCCCACATGTACCACAGGTGTACATTCACTTCACAAAAGTGGATGCAGGCAGATAGACCGATCGAAGGCGGAAGGAGGGGGAGAATGGGCAGGAGATTGAGGCTCATTCTGGCAAGCCATTCAGGGGAATCATGGGAAAGAGGCAGAATCATATTCACAGCCAATCAGAGGGCCCCATCTCATGTTCTCAGCCAATCAAAACACCCCCATCGCAGCCAAACATACATTGAACTAATATTTACAATAACTATTCTAACATGGGTGAATTCTGAACACAATCAAGAGAAAAAAAAACTGGACAATTAATTTCTACAAAATGTTTACTGATTCCATTTTGGTATGAGTTTCAAATCGTAGCCCTGGTATTTTGAGCAGAGAGTGTTTAGTGATTGTAAGCGTAGAGAGAAGAACTAAGAGAAGCCGTTAGGCTACACTGTCCAAGGGGGAAGAGTTATTACGTATTATTTCAAGAAAAACATCCACACACACACTTACTCAAACATCCACACAAACATACAGTGGGGGAGGTCCTACAAACCTTACCTAAAAAACAAGAGTAAAAAAAAAAGAAAGAGGAGTAAAAAAAAAAAACAGAGTCAATACAATGGAAACTCAAAGCATTAGGGAGACATTTCAGTAAATGCACACTCAGTACCAAGGCTCTGTCCAAAAGATAGAGAGAAGAGGAAAAGGATAAGGTTTAAACACCATGGCATGAGCACCAGAATGGGTGAACAGATGTGATTGTTTGTTTGTTTGCGTGTAGGTTTGTGCATGTATGCAGCATAGCCCTTTGCACTAAGAGCGAGTGTGTTTTCAAATAGTTCCCAACCTGAACACTTGACTGGGTCAAACATATACACCGTTCACTTTCTTCTGACTCATTTTCTCCACAGTTTCCACAAAAGTGATTTGCGTGTAATTTGGTGTGCTCGCTTTGCACAAACTCTCACTCTGGCCCTGCAAGATGGAACTAATCTACTTCCTCAAGCTTGCTGGAAGCTCTAGGACTTTTATCTGATCTGGAAAATCTCTTCCACTGCAAATCAACTTCAGCCACTCCCTGTCTGCTCTGTGTATTAAACACAAACAGTATGTTGACAGGATGACGACAACCAAGAAAGGACAAAACTCTGATCTCTTGAGTGTCTTGCCAAGCTACAAAACAGATGGGCGGTGCCGGTGAGCACTGGAAACATTCCTAATCTCTCACACACTTGACTTGGCCGGGATGACAACCTCTGGCTACGGCTGCTTCCTCTGGGTCCTCAGCACTACGAGTTCTAAGAAAGCAGCCAATGGAGTGTGAGCTGCTACAGGAAAGGCAAAAAAGAAAGCTGCCATTCTGCTGTCACTGCTTAGGGAAATGCTGTCTCTGTGTGAAGCAGTGCTGGCAATATAAAATTAAGCAATACGGAGAACATCAGAATGATTTTATTGGCCCATTAAGCTTCCCAATGGGCAAATAACCTCTTTCTACTACGACTTGTGACTACGAAAGCAAATCAAATTAGATATTTTAAAAGTGGCTCTGATTTAAACATCAGCAGCAAAAATAGCAATGCTAAAAATGCTAGTTTCTTAGGTTGAAAAAAGTACATTCTTTTAAAAAATTTCTGAGCAAACATTTTTTATCAATTTAATGCATCCTTACTGAATAATTATCCTGCTAATGTTTTTTTTTACTATGGTTGATATGGGATGTTGAGGGAAGCGTTCAGAATGCCAACAGACAGGATGCCTTTCCCATTTATGCACACTGAATACTGAATTAAGATCTTGGGCTTTTACACAACGCTGACTTCAGCACTTAAACAGCAGAGCTATCTTAACAGCTGCAGGGCAGTGTCTAGAGAGTGTGCATATGTGCAATAAAAAAAGCAGTTTCTAAGGAGAGACTCAAACTCGCCTGATGGGCCAAATGACCTTGCAAAAGTTAGCTGACATAAACCTTCACTGTTTACTTTCAACAGAGGTCCTGAGAGAGAGCCATTCATATTCCTATCACTGATTTCTGTCAGAGCAAGTTCTCTTTGAATCAAAACCTTCTGCTAAAACGATTTGTAAGGGTCAATTCAACAAGGCAGCATGTCAGAAAGGCAGCTGGGTTTGCCTTTTTTCACCTTGTGTTGAGAACAGATCGTACTGATTTACATGTGGGCAGATCAATTTACTGAAACATGAGGGTGTTTTCATGTTTCTGTGCAAACAAAACAAAACCTCCCACACACTCCGAAGTTGTAGTGAGAAATAAAGGGAAAGAACAAAAGAAACAAGACCTAGAACATCACAAATCTCTCCTCCTGTTGAAATGTGCTCAGATATCTAAACATCCTTTCAGGCTATAATACACAACATTTTATTCTGCACCTACTATTAAATTGATGCACTAAGAGGATGACGCATGTTAGCATTCCTCATTGTGTGCTTTATTTCCTGCAGGCTTTGCAGCGTAACTGCAGCACACATGCATCCTGAGGGGACGATAAGATGCGTGTGTGTGTGTCTCAGAAACCACTGATCAATTTCTACATAGACCTCGGTTCGCCAACGACTGCATCAGCATGAGGTAATGACCAAAAACAGAGCGGTCTATAAAGCTAACTTTACTGTGCGTCTTGGGGTAAATTTAAGCATCTACTCTGTCCTTGTCCAAAAACGACACTCCCTTCCAAGTAACAGTGTTTCCTTACTCACATAATGTGACTTCTGCTCACAAGGGCCAAACTGTTATACATTTTCTTAAGAAAAGT